AATCCAGGGCTAATAGTCCTGGGAATGCTCAAGAATAGAGCCAGGGGCAGAAGGCCACCTTAGGAGGAACAGTCGCCTGAGGCTACAGCCAGACACTGCTGATTCACAGGGAGCTAAGGGAATATAGTCATGTTTAACTGCAGAGATAGCAACAGAGAAATGTGTCCTCAGTCAATTTCATTGTTGTATGAACACCACAGAGTATACTTATACAAACCTAATGGTAAAGCCAACTATATACCGAGGCTAGATGGTACAGCCCGTTGCTCCTAGGCTACGAACTGTACAGCACGTTAGTGTTCAAAACAACAGGAGATTAAATCAAGCACAAGAGAAAATGATGCAGCTGAGGGAAACAGCAAACACGAGATGCATGAGGCTGCTGCCAGTGTAACACTCTTATGGTGAACTTTTTTTCATAAGTAGAAAGAGTACCCTCTAAAATAACAATAAAATGTATAGTATTGTACATACATAAACCAGCAGGATAGTCGTCCATTATCAAGTGCTATGTCCTGTACATAATTGTATGTGCTATACTTTTATGCCACTGGCAACACAGTAGGTTTGTTTCCCCAGCATCACCACAAACACGTGAGTCGTGTGTTATGCTGTAATGTTATGGCAGCTACAATGTCATGAGGCAATAGGAGTGTTTCAGCACCTTTGCAGTCTTAGGGGGTCACCCTCATCTATGTGGTTCATCATTGACCAATAAGTCACTATGTATCACGTGACAGTGAAAATGCTGACCTTACTCTCCTCCCTCCCTCCAGGTCTTTTGGGGTCCTCACTGGCTCAGCCCAATGGGAAACCAGAGGGCAAGGGATTTGGTTGGTAGAATCCTTTCAAGTCAGCCTTCTGAGAATGACATCAAGCTGGACATAGTCACGTGCACTTGAAATGAGCATTTGAACATCATTCCTTCTGTGTGCCCAGAGGTTCACCTGGGAACACTGCAGGGCTGCGGGCTGGTTTGTGGGAATCGTTTCTTCCCAGGAGTCATGCCATTGAGAAGCTGTTCTCAGGGTAAGTATAGTTCTTTGTAGGTATTCTATCTTTTCCCTTGCTGCTTTTAAGAGTGTCTCTTTATGTTTGATAATTTGAAGTTTTATTATGATGTGTCTTTGTGAGGATTTCCTTCTCTTTATTTGAGGCTCTCAGGGCTTCCTGAATCTATGGAATATCACATGATATCATATGAATCATGGAAAATCCTTAGCTAATATCGTCTCCTTAATTCCCTTTTTTTCTTTTTCTGGAACTTCAATATTAGGTATTTTCATTTTGTTTTATCAACTTGTCTGTGATATTTTAAATTTCTTTGGTCTCTCTGAAGTATGGTCTGTACAGTCTCTTCAGCTCACTTCCAGTAAACTGGTACTCTTTTTGACTAATTATCTCAACCCAGAAACCCTTCTCAAAGGCACATTATATCAAAACTGTCCAAAATTAATGATTGGAAATAACTCTCCAGGCAGCCAGAGAAAACAGTAAAGGAAATCCCATTACATTACCATGGATTTCTCAGCAGAAACCCTAAAGGCTAGGAGACTATGGAATCAAATAGTCGAACTACTGAAAGAGAGAAATTGCCATCCAACAATAATGTACCCAGCATAGTTATCCTTTAGATATGAAGAAGAAATAAAGACTTTTCCAGACATACAGAAGCTGAGGGAATTTACCACCAGTAGGCCGCCATTACAGGGAACACTGCAGGGGTTATTATACCTAAAACAAAGAACAAAAGGATACAGAACTATGGGTGAGATGACGAACAGAGAGACAGAAGCAGAATATTACCATCCTTCTTCAAAACAGGGTGCTTACTATACACTTAAATATCACATACGGTTAAAAGAGGTAAAAACACAAGGAGAAGAAGAAAATAGCATCTGCAAATCAGAGATGAATTCACAGCATAAATAAGGATAGTTTGTGACTAGAAAAACTTTTATAAAAGGGGAGGCCGTAAAGGCCTGAATTTGCAAAGGGGAGTGGACATAAGACTCATTCAGAGGAAAATGGACTGCTGTATATATAACACTTTCTTTTGCATAAACCTAATGGTAGCCACAAAAAAATCCAGAGCTGAGATACATAACTTTAAAGAAAGAGGAAACAGAGGGAAAAATTATAGAATACCACCAAACTGAAACAAAATCAACACAAGGGAGAAGAAACAATGGAGACACAGAGCTACTGGAAAACAAAAGTTAAAGTGGCCATAGGAAATCCTCATACATCAATAATCATCCCTGATGGAAATCAACTCAACTCACCAAAAAAAGGTACAGAGTAGTAGATTGGGTCAAAAAGACCAAACCAACAGTATGCTGCCTTTGGGAGACACATCTCAGCTGCAGAGTCAAATACAGACTTAAAGTGAAAGGGTGGAAAATGATTCTCCAGGCAAATGGCATCCAAAGAAAAGCAGGTATAGCCATACTTTATCTCGCAAGATAGATTTCAAGATACAAAAGGCAACAAGAGACAAAGAGGGACATTTCCATGGCTAATACGCAGGATGCACTTTATTACCATTCACAACAATCTACTTATTTGAACTTCAATTCCTAGCTATGACCCAAATAAACACTAAAACACATCGTACTATGCTGATTCTGTGACGTTCCCCAGTAACCACCCTGGTTATTCATCTTCCCCAGCTCATCAATCAAACACCAATGTAGGGCTGCTGGGAAGGGATTTTGCAGATGTAATGAGGGTCTCAAATCAGTGGAATCTTAGACTTCCCTGGGTGGGACTGTCCTCAGCAGATGAGTGCTGCCTGGGTTCCCCCTGAGCAAAGAGGTGCCACGTGTGAGAATTCAGCCTGAGCCTTTTTCTTCACTGGGGGCTTTGGAACCGCAGCACCACGTTGTAAAGACCGCAGTGGCCACCAGGTGTTGGGAGCAGCCCTCCCCAGGCCCCTCCTCGCTAACAGCTGTTAAGAAAATAGGGACCGCAGACTCACAACTGGAAAAAAAGGAAATGAATTCTGCTGACAATCTCTATATGAGCTTAGAGAAGGATCCCGATCCCGAGCTCAGGATGAGGACACAGCTTTGTGACACCCTGGCCAGGGACCCCAGCCACCCCACACCCGGATTTCTCGCTAAGGAACTATGGGCAAATAAGTGAAGGTTGTTTTGAGCCACTAAGTTGTGGTGATTTTTATACAGTCACAGAAAACTAGTACACAGGCTCAGCTGTGCCACAGAATAGCACCCGGCATTTTTCCCACTGGAACGTACTTACGAAATGACGTGTCCAGTAGTTACATGCAATAAAATCTTTCCTAACATTTTTATATTTTTTATTTTATGATTTTATGTGATGCAATTAAATTTGAATACAGTTGTCATTCATTCATTCAACAATTAATTTAATGTCTGCTATGTACCAGAAACAGCTTCTTGTGCTGGGATACAACTTTGACCTAAACAGCCCAAAGCCCCTGTGCTCATGGGCCTGACATTCTAGAAGCTTCCCAGAATGTAACGGAGGAGCCACCAGGGCATTTTTAGTGAAATGACACAATGTCATTCAGCAGGACTGCTGACCCCTGTGGAAATAATTGCCCCTGGGTGGCCGGTGAGGGGGTGGCACTAAAGCCACAATTAGGAGAGAGGTGATGGAGATAAAGAATTGAAGAGGCTAAGAGGTAAGAGGAGGAGGGCTGGGGAAGCAGGCGGTAAGGAAAAGTAGCAGAGGCGGAGATCCTAAAGCAGCAGCACTCTCCAATTTAAATGTTTTGTAGATTGATAGTAATCATGTCTACAGAGTCTAGCAGGGTGATCTTTATATTTGGTGCCTAATACATTCTGTGGAGCTGCCTAAAAACCAATTGCCACCTTTTGGTAATCAGTTTAAAAGTAATGCGTCCCGATAAAATGTGCACTCTGCTTAGATGTGAGTAATTCATAAAAGCAAGCAATGCAGCAGTGCTGGTGAGGGGCATTTTGACTGCATTGAGCACCTGCAACTTTAAGGATGTGCGGCTCCTGATGAAATGCACAGTAACATCCTGCTTCCCTGTGCTTGTTTGTATTGAGGATGTGGACAACTCACACAAACTCGGGGCTACAGGATGAAGATCAGTTTACAAGGCAGCAATCCCGAGTCACACATACACTGCCTGGGAAACAGAATTTAGGAGCTTTGTCACTCTGACTGCAGTGCTGTCTGGACACTTCTGTATATGAGGCATCTGAACTCATTTATTTTACATACAGATTAACTTTTTGATGCTCAGGGTTTCCAAGATGTGTTCCCCACTGTAGCTCACTGGTCTGTGACAATCTCTATCTTATGTTTTCAGGCACAACTCCTCTCCTGCTGAAGAGGAAAACCCGGCCCCTCCACCTCCATTCCTAGGGGGAGTTCACTATCTGGCATCAAGTTCCCTGGGGTGTTTTCTTCTAGAGGAGTCCAGGGGAAGAGATGAGGGATGGGAGGCTGGGAGTCTGCTTTAGGAAGAGGGATTCCAGGAAGAAAAGAGCAGAAAAAAGGGCTGGTCCCAGCATGGGTCTCTCTCCCTGGTTTCCTCACACAGTCCCGGGGAAGGATAGAGAGCTCTTGGTGCAGGAGAAGGGGTCAGGGAAAAGTTCCAGGTCCTCAGGCCTGGCTCTCAGGATCTCTGGGTATCAGCCTGAGTGCGGAGTCTGAAGCCAGGAAGCTCTGTGTTGGGGAGTTCCCCATCTCCCATGGTTTACTTCTCTTTCTGGTGGAGAGCAGGACCAAGAAAATGACATTGGTCCTGTCAAGACAGGATAAAATATATAAAACAAAATGCCGTCATTTATGTCAACCAAGATGGCTGCCGGTCAGCCGTGACACTGTGGTTCAAAAAGGAAACCACCTTAGGCATGCCAGGCATCCTGCCAAATGCCTGCCAGGGCCACTCACCCAAGATATCGGCATACAGATGTGTCTGCAGAGAGGGCACACCTACTGATAGAGTGCTGGGGGCTCTTGGCTGATCAGCTGCCAAGAACGTGGATATAATTGAGGTGGACTTCAGAGCCACTACAAAGACAGCAAAGAGCCCACCACTAGTGGTGTTCCAAGTTACTCTGGATTACTTGGCTTTGTGCCAAGAGGCTTTGCCCCACTGAGTCCTGGAACTTCTACACAGAAAGAGACACACACTCACTGACGCTGCCTCCCAGGCCTGGGACTGAGACTCTGGGACTCGGGTTCGTTAATCCCCCATTGATTGTTGTGCGTTAACTGTGTGTGATGTTATAGAGGATGGGATATTAATGTTGATGTTCTATCGCATATGAACCTTCATTTAATAAAAGCTGAATTTGAGCAACAGCTCCTGTGGCTCTCGCCTCATTTCTTCCCATTGCCAGGTGTAGATTTGTTAGGTAGCAGCTAGGAATGAGCAGCCAGAGGGGAAATAAAGGCAGGGCCCTCACCATTACACTCTTAGCAAAGAACTTAATACGGGAGGCTGGAAGCAAAAGGAAGACATAGCAGGCCTGAGCTTGGTTTGATCAAGGTTACCCAGTGTCCCGAGCATTGCAAAAAAATACCACAGAAGGAGGGGAGTCCTTGAGGCTGTGCAGAGAAAATGGGCTTCTGTAGGCTCCTGTGACGATCTTCCTAAGATTGCCAGGTGTCTGAAATGTCACAGCAGGAATCCTGCAGGAAGGAGGTGTAGTAGTCCTTGAGGTTATATGCTGGGAAAGGGAGCCTCTCTAACAATTTCACTGAGACAAAGAGCCTTTACTAACTGAGAAAGAAAGCCTTTGTAGCTGTACATTATTCCCAAGGGGCGGGGGGTGAAGACCTAGAAGCCAACTGAGGTACATAACCCCAGGTTAACTAAGCACCTACCCACTTGTAGCCCCTGATCAAGTGTATACGAAAACTCACTAACAACATTCTTTTCTTTATATGTCTAGGGCATTTAGACTAGCCTGGTGCCTGCTTGCAGCTTTGCGCTTGTGTGTGTTTCATAAATAAAATTGCTATCTCATTTCCCCCATATGTCTTTGTCTCACCCTTGAATTATTCCGTTGCAGGCTAGACAAGAACCAGCTGGGGAGACAGTCTCTTGACTCCTCTCCTTCTCTCCCTATCCCTAACAGACTAGGCCAGGGACCCTGACTCAGAGGAAAGACTATAAGGCCACCCCGCTCTAGGAGCACAGCCTACAGGGGTCGTATTGAGGGTGTTCTGGCCACCTTTCACAATCTGCGTTGGGTCCTCCATCCTGCGTATTTTTGACTGACCCCAGTTCTCATTCCCACAGGTGTCCCTTTCAAGAGCAGCCAATCAGCCTTATAATGTCTTCGCGACCCGCCCGGACTCATATTCCTCAGACCCCGAGAATATGGGTCCTGAGACCCGCATCCCTCCTCCTGCTGCTCCTGGGGGCCCTGGCCCTGAGCGAGACCCGGGCGGGTGAGTGCAGGGTCGGGGGAAACAGCTCCTGCGGGGGAAGTGCGAGGGGAGCGCTCAGCGGGGGAGCCCGACCCCGGGGAAGGCGCGTCTCCCCCACCACGGCCCACACCCCCAGACCCCCCATTCTCGCCCCCAGGCCTCCACTCGCTGAGATATTTCAACACCGCCGTGTCCGGGCCCAGTCGCGGGGAATACCGGTACATCCACGTCGGCTACGTGGACGACACGCAGTTCGTGCGATTTGACAGCCACGACAAGAGCCCGAGGCCGGAGCAGCCGTGGGTGCAGCGGCCGTGGCTGGCGGACGAGCCACAGCATTGGGACCGTTACATGCGCAACGCGAGGGACAACGCGCAGAATTTCCGAGTGAGCCTCATCAACCTGCGCGGCTACTACAACCAGAGCGAGGAAGGTGAGCCACGTGGTCCGGGTCGGTCACGACCCGTGTCCCCACGGACCGGCGGCTGTCGCCCCCAGGGGCCGGTCCGAGCTTCACCCCGGAGCTGCGGGACGGCCCCTCCCCGCGACTGGGGAGGAGTCCGCGGGCACTCGGACCTGGTTTCATTTTCTTGGCGTTTAACCTCAGCTCCGGGCTGGGTCGGGGGCGGGGTTGGTATCGGGAGCGGGGCGGGGATGGCCGGGGGCGCCGCTGACCTCGGGGGTGACCTGGGCCGGTGTCAGGGTCTCACACCATCCAGTGGCTGTACGGCTGCGACGTGGGACCCGACGGGCGGTTCCTCCGCGGATACTCTCAGTTCGCCTACGACGGCGCCGACTACCTCTCCCTGAGCGAAGACCTGCGCTCCTGGACCGCGGCCGACAGCGCGGCGCAGATCACCCGGCGCAAGTGGGAGGAGGCCGGCGAGGCGGAGCACTACAGGACCTTCCTGGCCTGGGAGTGCGTGCAGTGGCTCCGCAGCAACCTGCAGGCGGTGCCGCGCGCAGGTACCAGGGTCTGTGGGACCTCCCTCCTCTCCGGCGGGGCCGAGGCTTGGGCTCCTACAAGGACACAGAAAGTGGGTGTCAGAGTACCCCTCCCAAATTAAAACCACTTGGGCTTGCCGATCCAGTACTGGAGCGGGACAGTTCTCTCTCCGCGACAATTCGGGCTGCAGTCTCACGCGGGATGAAGGGGTAGACCGGCCCTGAAATAACGCACCGGGTTCCCATTGTCGCTGACAGTGGCCGTAGGACCCATGGGGGACATTCGCTTTCAGACCTTGTTCGTCGCTCCTCACCCACAGTGCCTGACACCTGACCCCAGCTTTTCTGAGTCATTTGGCCTCCGTCCCTGTTCTCTCCCTCTGAGACCTGCCTCCTACCCTGGGCTTCATCACCCTCATTGTAGAACCTTCTAAAGACTGGGAGCTCATGACAGGTGCCTATGTCCAGGCTGGTGCGTGGGTTGGGGGCTCCCTTCGCAGACGCCAGGTGCACTGTCCATTCTCAGGTTGGTGACGTGAGTGCTGCTGGAGTGTCCCATGAGGGATGCCAAGTTCCCGAATTTTCTCACCCTTCTCAGCCCCTCCGGAGACACACGTGACCCATCACCCCATCTCTGAGCGTGAGGTCACCCTGCGGTGCTGGGCCCGGGGCTTCTACCCTGCGGAGATCGCCCTGACCTGGCAGCGTGAGGGGGAGGAGATGACCCAGGACATGGAGCTGGTGGAGACCAGGCCTGGCGGGGACGGGACCTTCCAGAAGTGGGCAGCCGTGGTGGTGCCTTCTGGAGAGGAGCAGAGATACACGTGCCGTGTGCAGCACGAGGGGCTGCCCGCGCCGCTGACCGTGAGATGGGGTGAGCGGCGGCCGTGGGCACGGAGCCTCTCTCAGGGGAAGCGGGGCCTCTGGGGGACTTCGGCAGGGTCGGGGCTGAGGCCTGGGGGCCGGGACCTCACCTCCCCTTCCCTTCCCAGTGCCACCCTCTCAGCCCAAAGCTGGCCTGGTGCTCCTTGGAGCAGCGGTGGCTGGAGCTGTGGTCGCTGGAGCTGCGGTCGCTGGAGGTGTGATGCGGCGGAGGAAGCTCTCAGGTAGGAAGAGGTGGGGTCTGAGCTTCTGGTGCCGCTCAGGGGTTTCAAACCCAGGTGGAAGTGTGTCCTGCTGCCCTCAATGGGAAGTATCATCTCCACGAACGTGCTTGCCCAGTCTGGGGCCCTGTTTCCTGGGAACCTAGACATGTGTAAAAGTACAGGATAAACTTATTACCTTGATGAATTCGGTGATGGGGACCTGGTTTCCAACAGTTACAGGTCAGAAGTGAAGGTCCCTGCTGAGGACAGGCACCATCCAAGTCTCCATACAGGTACTCTCAGGTTTCCGGATCCTGCCTTGAGTGTGTAGTCCCGGTCCTGGAAACTTCTTTAGGGCCCAGGACTAGAGATTCCTTTCGTACCTCATGGCCCTTCCTTCCCTCCGATGTGTCCCCCACAGAGCTTCTAAGGTGAGACCCTGCAGCCGGGAGGGGTTGGGGCAGAGGGGACAAGAACTGGGTGATGGGGATACTCTGGGATATTTTGAGCAAAAATGAAACGGTTGAGAGTGTCACCAGTAACAGCAACTGATCTGAATTCTTTCACGATTATTTTCCTCTGTAGGATGAGACAGCCGCCTTCAGGGAATCGGTGATGGAAGATACTTCGGACACACACACACACACCTGCCAACCCACTGTTTGTGACTTCAGGGACATCTATCTCATTTTTCTTTCTGCATCTGAATGTGTGTGCGTTCCTATCAGCAAAATGAGAGGAGGTGGGAGGCCGGCCTTCCCTTGCCCACCACCACCCTTCCCACGCCTTCCTGTCCAGCAGCGGGGTGGGGGGCAGGGGTGGGGCCCTCCCCTCTCTCATCCCTGAGTTTGCTTCATGCGTGCCTTAAGCTGCAACTTCTTACTCCCTATTGAAATAAGACTCTGGATAGGAATTTGTTTTTTCACTTCTTGCCATAAAGAGTTGATGGGTTCATTAAAGAGAAGATACTAAAGTTTGAGCTGAAATAAATGGAAGCACCACAGTACTTTGCAGAACCTGTGTGTTTACTGTGCTGAGTCTGTTGCTGGGAGGAGACGCTGTGAGGCCTGAGCGTGGTGAGAGCCTGTGCCAGTCAGTGCTTAGTGAATTCTGGCCTTTGACATTGTCATTCCTCAAATGGGTCGCCTCTCTGATCCTTTGTCCTTGTCCCACCAGAACCTGTGGTCACAGGAACTGTGGCCTTGTAAATTGTCCTAATGAAGAACGTCTCCAGGACTTTTGGCAGTGAGGGCTGCATGGGGCCGGGGCCAGCCTAGGCTCAGGCCGGGGTCTGGGTGTTTCTTTGCTGTTTCTATGTTTCTATAGAGCAATATAACTGTTTCTGTTCTTGTTAGGATTTCTGGTCTCACTCTTTGGGTGCTCCCTGCCTGTCAGCAGCAGGAGGTTGTTTTGCCTGTCATTGTGCCCGCAAGGCCTAGGGTGTCCCTGCACACAGGAGTCTGTGGTTTGGAGAGACAAAATTTCAGAGTCATCCTGCTCTTGCCTCCTTCTGGGATGTGACTGTTCTTCCTATCTTTTCCTAAACTCTCAAAGGAACCAGCTTAGGAGTTAGCAGAGAGGAGGATCCTGTAATTTCTCATCCCGGAGAAGTTCCTGTTGGAATTCTGCTCTGCTCGCCTGCCCTCTCTCCCTGCCCTTCACTCGAGCGCTGGTTTCAGTGAAAACTCAGGGATTCATAAGGCAGAGTCTCCTTCGGATTTAGGGAGAGCGGCACTGTGGGTAAAGTGCAGATGTCAACGTGAGTGCACATTGTGCCGTAGCTGCCACAGAACAGCTGTGGTCTGAGGCCTCCTTAATAAAGACCTGGTCCGGCATAGGAAGGAGCCCTACACTGATTGTTCACACACCAGTATCGGTGGTATGACAGATGTATGGCACTGCTTTTGCAGGAGGGGACCATCCCTGAAGTAAAAGAAACAGCACTGGCCTCGTGGAGCACATGCTGTGTGGGAAGAGACAGAGTGTAAACAAGGAGCGTGTCAGCATGAGAAGGGTTAAGTGTTCTGGGATAAATGCCTTGGGGAAGGTGATCCCGAGTGTGGGGTGTGGGGACAGGGAAGATGGCTTTTGACTTGGGTGGTCAGTGTGGGCCTCACTTGGAAGGTGACCTTGAGGAAAGACCTGAAGGACCTGAGGAGGTCTGGAGGAAGTTCTTTCCAGGCAGGAGAACCTCCAGTGCAAATGCCCTGGGGCAGCATGTGTCTGGTCTCTGGGCAAAGTGAGGAGGCTGGTGTGGGGATGGAGCAGAGAGTAATCAAGATGAGATGGAGGCAGGGCCAGACCACGTGGGCCTGGAAGACTGAGCTCTGAGGGAAGGATTAGCAAGGGCTAGAACAGGAGACAGACTTGGCCTGATGTCCCCTTTAAAGGATGGTGGTGGCCGCTGTACTGAGAGCAGAATTGGGAGGCGAGGGAGGCAGTGGGGAGTCCGGAGGAGTCTGTGCAGCCTCCAGGCCGGAGATGCTTCTCCGGTTTCAGCAGTGGAAATAGTCAGCAAGGTTGGGTTCCGGATACCCTCTGAGGGTGGACTGTCGAGCAATCATAATGGGTTGATCTGGGATATTCGAGAGAGGAGCCAGGGTCACAAAATATCGCAGAAAATAGGAAGGAAGAAGAGTTGCTGTCAGCAGAGTCAGGGAAGACTCAGGAAGCAGCATATTGGAGGGTGCCTCACACTCTTTTTACCAGATATCGGAGCTGAGATGTCTGTGAGAAGCACAAGGGAACTGTCCAGTTGGCAGGTGGACAGATGAGCCTGGAGATCGGGAGGGATGCGGGCTGGAGAAATAGCCATTTAAAACCTTGAGAACAGATGAGGTGACCAAGGGAGTTACGGCTACAGAAGACGAAGGAGGGCAGATGAACGCAGGACCCCCGGTGCAGAGTGATCTGGTCAGGCCACACACCAGAGCCTCTGCACAGTTCTGTGTCTAGATCATGACCACAGAGTCCCAAACTTTCTTTTGTGCAGGAATCACCTGGATATCTTGGTTAAGTCAGAAAGTCTGGAGCAGTCAGACTCTGGATTTATAACAAGGTTGGTGCTGATGTTCTTGGTCTTAGATCACAGCCGTCGTAGCGTGAACCCAGACCAGGGTTCCCGCATGGCTGTGTGTCAGACTCACCTGCAGTGCTTGTTCCGTAAGTGATCCTGGCCTGGTGCCCAATTCTCTTAAGAAGCAGGTCTAGGGGAAGCCCGCAAGCCACCCTGGGGCTCAGCCAGACAGGGAACCGCTGAGGTCAGTGACAGAGCTTAGGCTGGGAAGGGATCTTAAATCCACATTTAAAGGTACTTCTTTTTTTCCTCAAAAAGAAATGGGAGGACATTTATGGTCATTTGTGAGACAGAATGTTTGGATTCAGATGTCGTTCTCCGCAGTATGGCGTTGGAGGCAGGTGGAAGAATGAGGAAGCGGGCCCAAGGTTGGCATAATAAAGTCTCTGAACGTGGGCTCCCTGAAACAGTCCCCCAGAGAGATTTCTTGCAGCAAACAATGGAATCTCAATTTTTCCTAATTTAGATAGGCAGTAGTACTTACATACCTGACCTTGGGGTCTAATAGTGTTTTGAGGAATGCCGCAGCACAGACTAGAGGCCACTGAGCCAGGAGCAGATCCCCAGTCAGTGCCTTGCTGCTGCTGCGCACAGCGGTCGCCACGCACCCCACTGACCCCTGATGCTGGACCCTGCGCGTCCTACTAGGTCTGCTGCCTCTGTGCTCCTGGCATCTGGGCACATGTTGCCATTCTTATCGCTCTTTCCAAAAGCACCCTGCACAGCCCCAGCCTGTCTGTCACCACGTCCTGAGTCAGAGTCCGGCATGTGATGTCCTGACTGGTGCAGGTCTGTGCCATGTCCAGATGCAGGAATGTTGGGGGACATGGGCTTCCCTTCTTAATGGAGGGATGTGGTTTGTGCCTTCTACCAAGTCTTTATGTGTAAAACGCTCCTCATGTGGAAGAGAGTTCAGGCACTGGGGTGAGGGCGGAAAAGAATGACCAATTTCAAATCTTAGAGCAAAGATCTGAGACTAGAACTTTCTGGCACTTTATAGTCTCTTGGGTTTGGCTGGAAGTGCAAATGACCAATAAACGATGTCCCAGGTGAAGGTCTACTTGCTTGCTTTTACCCTGAATTTCTTTGTGGGATGGTGAGGGATTTTGTTCCTCCACCCAGTTCTCTGGCTCTCAGATTCCACTTGTGTTTCCTTCAATTCAACTGCACTCCAACACAGAACACCTGCAGTTCACAGCAGGCCCCGCACACTCAGGGCTCCGTCCACAAGACTGCCCTCACTTCGGACGCAAGCCTCAAGTTCAGGCCCCCATCGTACCTGCGCTCTGTCCAATTGGCTACAAAAGTGGGGGGTTCCCACGCAGGTCATTAATTTGGGAGATCCATTCATGGAACTCAGGAAAATGCTGTGCTTTCTGATAGTGTTTATTATCATGGATACAAGTAAACACCCAGATGAAGAGGCACATGGGGTGAGGTGGGGAAGGGTCCCAAGCACCGGAGCCTCTGTCTCTCTGGAGCTCAAATGTGTCACCCCTCCCTTTTCAGAATGTGGATGTGTTCCCTACTTCAAAACTCTCTGAACCCCATTGTTGAGGATTCTTTTGGAACTTTCACTGTGTGGCCACGATTGATTCAATCATTGACCGTTGGTGATTGAACTTGACTCCAGCTGCTCTCCCCATTAGTTGGGCAGGGAGGCTGGAAGTTCCAACCTGTTGCTCACGCTTGGTCTTTTGGTGACCAGCCCTGATCCTGAAGCTGTCCAGGACCTTCGGCCAAGAGCCATCTTACCAGCATCCCAAAGACACTCCTGTCACTCAAGAGATGTCAAGGATTTGAGAAGCTCTGTGCCAGGAACCACAAGCAAAGACCCAACGTTTTTCTGTTACACCATAGGTCTTTGCCCACAGATCTATTAATAGCAAAGATATCATAATAGTTTAAAGATCTTGGCACATTACTAAAGTCCCACTCAGTCATTAACAATTAGTCCAGCCTTTCATCCTAGTAAGCATGTTTACATGGTCCATAAATTTATGAAAATTACCCAAGATTTTTGGTCAGAGGGGAAGTCAAATTAAGCCAATATGTGATAGTATTGCATCCCTCCCAGAATGGCAAAAATGGAAAAACTCAGACAAAAGCAATTGTGGTAAGAATTTGTACTAATTACGTCTCGTATATCGCCAATGGGAGAGGAAGTTGATTTAAATACTCTGAGAAATGCTTTGGCAATAATTACTACATCCAAACATTCCCTTAACCTATGACCGAGCATTTCCTCTACTAGCAATATAGCCAGTAAACATGTATATGTGTGTGTGCTGAAATGTGAAGAAATTATTCATAGCAGCACATTTTGTAACATCTGGGTATAACATAAATGCCCATGAGCAGTACAAGATGAGAAGTGTGACTTGTTCACATAATGGGACTCTTGGAGCCAGGAGAGCGAATGAACTACAACCACAAAGTCATAGGCATGAGGCCCGGGGGTTGATGGTGAGTGAGAGCCCAGGACAGAGGGGTGACTGCTGGAATGTTCCATTCTCTCAAAAACGGACAGAACTCAGCTATGGTGTTAGAAACGAGGTTAGTGGTTACTCAGGGTTGGGGGCAGTTTAAGAGCGAATACAATCCAAGAGGGCTGCCTGGGTGCTGGAAATGTTCCGTGGGTGGTGTTTATTCCAGTGCTCACTTTGTGAAAATCCACTGTACACTTATGATTTGTCCTCCTCTTTGTGTGAGTGTGGTCCTTATGAAAGAATACTTTTCTGGAAATTTGAAATAATTCT